TGTGTGTGTGTGTGTGTGTGTGTGTGTGTGTGTGTGTGTGTGTGTGTGTGTCTGAACATCATCTCTATTCACTTTGGAGTTTTCAATTATAGAAAACAAAATGCCAACATCCTCTGGGACATAGCTCAAGCTATCAGTCTTCAAAGGTAACCGACTCAAGCCGTCGGCACCATTCTCTTTACCAGGTTTGTGTTTTAACTAATAATCATAGGCAGCAAGTGTATAGCCCATTTGAACTCTTGGTGAGGCATGCTCAGGAATAGATTTGTGTTCTCCAAATAAACCTAACAAAGGTTTGTGATCAGTAACAATAGTGAAATTCCTGCCAAAAAGGAATTTGTGAAATTTTTTCACCCCAGAAGTAAGGCCCAGACCTTCTCTATCTAATTGGCAGTAATGTCTCTCAGCTTGATTCAATGTTCTACTGGCATAAGCAATAGGGCGCTCACCACTTTCATCATGATGTGACAACACTGCTCCCACACCATCTGATGATGCATCTCATGTTAATATTAGCTTCTTCTCTAAGTCATATAGTGAGTCAACAAGGTATCAGACGACAAAGCCTCTTTAGCTGCTTTAAAAGCTGCATCTTGATCCTTGCACCAATGCCAAGACATGTTTTTCAGTAAGAGCTTGTACAGAGGAGATACAGTAGAATACAGATTGCCACAGAACTTGGCATAGAATGTAGTAGTTAACCATGCCAAAAAAGGCTTTAAGTTGTTTGGGGTTTTCAGGTTTGTTCGCTTCTTTGACGGCTCTTGCCTTTTCATGCTATGGTCTAATACCCTCTCTACTCAGCCTATAGCCCAAGAACTTGACCTCTTTCAACATGAACTGGCACTTGTCCGTGTTGATCTTCATTCCTTTCTCACCAACCAACTTCAAGACTTTTTGAAGTGTTTAAAGATGCTCAGTGTCATCCTAGCCTGTTATGTACAAGTTATCAAAATACACACACACACACACACACACACACACACACACACACACACACACACACACACACACACACACACACACACACTTGGGATGTCTTGAAAAATGCATTCCATGACAGCTTGAAAAATGCCTGGACTGGAAGAAATCCCAAAACACAGTCTTTCATACTGATAAAAACCTTTGTGTGTGTTAATGGTAGTATACTTTTTGAAATCAGGATGGAGTCCCAATTTTGTGTATGCATAATGTGATAGATCTGGTTCAGTGAACTTTTCGCCCTTGCTTTAAGGAGGCCACCTTTATTCTGACCCCGAGTGAGAATAACCCATGTCTCGCTATTCTCACCCCCCCCCCCCCCCCGGTGAGAATAGCTCCCACCCTGGTGTTGGCATGAGATGAGGACTCCCCCCTGACCTCTCACAGGCCGGTAAAATCACCTAGGCCCTTGGTGGCTTACCGCATGTGATTGGGAACGAAAAATAATAATGTAAAAACATTTTTCGCCTCTCCATTTTAAAAAAAGGCTCACTGTCAACGCCACTGAGCGGGAAGTGGGACCGGCCGCCGGCCGGACCATTCGTTGTTTACACACTTTTATCGATGGCAGGCCTCTCACTCTCTGCCTGCATACAAGATCAATAAACTATGGTTCAAGGAACAGAGAGCGTGTACAAAGTAAAGAGACACAAGCACAAGACAATAAGTTATGCTCTTGCACGACGGAAGAAGGGTTGAAAATTACTCAGACCAATTGGACGAGGGCGGTAAATCGTGTTAACTAGTTTAATCATTAAACAACCCAAGCTCTTTTCTTCATTTTAAATTTTTATTCTTTTTTTCTTTCTTTTTCTTTTTTTCCTCTTGCCTCTTCTTTCCCTGTCTTCTTGAACATTTGGAGTTTGGAGCCAAAAAAGAGCCAGAGAGCCAAATGAAATTCTCCGTTTCGAACGCGATCCAAAAGAGCCAAATTTCTGGGATTTGGCTCCAAATTGACAACCCTGACTGTGACTATTTGGACACGAACAGTGCCGAACACGATGGTGTGGAGCATCAGCCCAGACACCTCTCCCCCCTCCCCACCTCAGGGTCATGCCCGCTAACCTCAGCCCTGATCCCTCTAGGGTCATATTTCCGGTAAAACGAGGGGGTGAGAATAACCACTTCCTAAGTAAATATCCTCTATGTTTGGAACAGGGTATCTATTCAACTCAATTTCTTCGTTGACTGTCACTTTATAGTCACCTCAGATTCTCACAGAACCACCTTTATTTAATACTGGCACTATTGGGGTAGCCCAAATAATGCCACTGGACTGTAGTCTACACAGCTCATGCTCAATCTTTTCTCTCATTGCATAAGGCGGAACCCAGCCTTGCAATACTTGGGGTTGGTGTTCTTGACACTTATTTTCACAGTTCTGTCCTCAAGTAAACCACCACTTCAGAAATTTCCATCATTTTTAGACAACATCTGGTCTAAACTCACTGAAATAGTTGCCTCTGCTCTCGAAACAACAAAGATGCTTCTCCAATCTAGCTTCACATGTTCGAACCAGTTCTTTCCTTCACTTTTCACAGCTGCTATGATAGGTAGCTTCATTGTCTGATTCCTAAGCACATCAACTTCCCATTCCCCTACGACTGGAACACTCTCATCAGTAAAGGTTTGAAGCTTCTTCACACAGTGTTGCATCGTAGCATCACTAACTGCGATCTTGTTGAAATCCTTCTCGATGATGACAGTAAGCGCAGCACCTGTGTCCAGTTGGAAGTTGACCGTCTTCTCGTTGATCAAGACTGGCACGTTGATGGGGGCGTGCGGTGACTCTGACACGGTAAACAGGTTGGAGTCGGGGCCTGCGTCAGGTTGATTCTGGCTCTCTTCCTTGCCGTGCCGCTCTAGGTTCATGCTCTCTAACAATTTTCTGTCCTCTGCTTTTTCCTCTCCACTTTCTGCCTCCACCTCCTTCCCTCCTTTGCCCCCTCCTCTGGGCTCCTGACTCTTTCTGCAGCCTTTCTACTGCTACGCCTTGGCTCCTTCTAGCTGTCTTTCAGCCACACCCCTGATCTTTTGGTAGGAAAGATCTACACCCAGCCTTCTTGGATAATGGCGGAAAATCTTGGAAGTCTCGTGTGCAATTTGCGCACATGAAAGATCCCTTGGTGGTCCAAAACCGATGAGAGTAGGTTTCGGTCACCACCCGGGCTGGATTCCAAATTTCCTACCAACTGACGTTTAATGTGTTCCGCGTATTCATATGAGCTTATGTAGTTGCGAGCACCGTAAAACACTTACAACAGAAAATAATAAAATAAGACACTAGCGCAGCCGTTCCACGAGACATTCGAATATTTCAAGTACGTAATGACGTAATATTCCAAAGTTCATCGGTGTCTACTTGTTGTTGTTGTTGTTGTTGGTGGTGGTGCTGCTGCTGCTGCTGCTGCTGCTGCTGCTGCTGCTGCTGCTGCTGCTGCTGCTGCTGCTGCTGCTGCTGCTGCTGTTTAGTTTAAAAGGGCAACATTAAAAATTTGCCTGAAAAAATGTACCCAAAAGTTCACAACTGTTGGTGTTTGTTGACAGAGGTCACTTGCTTCTATTTTTGCTAAAATTATCCAGTTAATTATTATAACGCTCACTCAAATGACGCAATGTGGGCCGACAGCGCCGTGAACCAGAAGCCGCGACTTTAAAAAAATGTGTGCTCGTTGTTACAAACAAGAGGAATGTCTCTGTGTTGCAGCTGATGATTATGAATGAAATCTGCCTTGTCAACATTCGATGGGTGCTTTATTTTCATCTTTGAAAAATGCTTTCCTCTTAATTTGCTTAGTTCAGTTTTAGTAATTAATACAATTATGTCAACAAGAACTCGGCCATTTGGTATAAGGGAAAAGCGTGATGGACAAACAGAAACGACAGAGAAAGGAAATAGTAGGACCTACCGAAGGCGCTGCACAACCACCCATACCCCTGCCCTTAGTGTCCTGGCAAGGTGCTAAATGCTCGACCTTCAAAATAAGTCATTAATTAATTAAGCCAGAACATTCTTTAACCATGTATATTAATTTTACATTGTACCGTCAACCATCACCACACACGTGGCACATTTTAAAGAACTTCTAACCTCCGTCAGGAAAAGGAAACGTCGCTGGATGGTCAGGTCATGTGAAAAGAGGCAGTGGCCTATCGAAGACAATCCTCCAAGGGACAGTTCGGGGTGGAACTGGAAGAAGCAGGCACGGAAAGAAACGGACGGACAACATTGCCGAGTGGATAGGGAAGAGCTTTGCCCATGACCGTCAGAGGTGGAGATACATGTATCCGGTGCAGCGCTCAGCAATGACCCCAGGAAGGGTTAAGGAGCTCGTGACCGTGATCGTGATCGACATAGTGCTATCACATTGTTGTACCATACCTTATGTTCATATACATTTGTATTATGTTTCATATCATATCAAATTATCATATATCGTATCATATCATGAATAAGAGCAATCCACAAATATTTTAGCAAACCAAGTCACAACTGTTTTAGCAAACCAGGTCCCAAGCTAAAAAGTGCACAAACGAGAGGAAGATTCAAATTTTCTGGAACATCGTTTTATTCCTACAATATTATCGTGTCTGAACACTGTGAAAATTAGGAACACATAACATCAATAAGAATATATCTAATTCACGAGTCCCTAAGGCTGTCTCCTTAAACTCCGGCACCGTGGCATATTCCACTTGTAGCAGTTCAAGTAACAGCGTACCGCAAGTTGGTATTGCAACTTCCACAAGTCGCCAGGCAAGATTGAGATAAACAAAAAAAACTGAGAGGGACAAGCATACAGGACCAGAGGGCCCATCATGGCCACTCATTACATGTATAATTTTTTACCCTATCCGTACGTCGTGTTTTACTATCGTATCTATACGACGTGGGGAACTCCATGCCACCCCTTTCCAAAGGAGAAATTTACTCTTAATCCGATCCGTACGCTTTGCATAGCAGTCTGTCAAAACGATTTTTTGAAAAATACTGAAAGTTTCAAAGAGGTCTTCGTACTAGAAGTATTCTAAAATGTGAAGAATACTACCGGCAGGTGGTCGGGGGTGGGGTACAAAATGATCCCAGGGCGTACGGATAGGGTTACATACGTTCAACGTTTCCTCTGAAAGTGTCTTTTGTCCCCATTTTTATTTTATTATTGCTTTCTAATAAGCATATCTTGATTGATCCCATGCTTCTTCCACTCTTTTTCATTTATTTCTAAGCAATCGCCAGTATTAACTTTAGTTGTTTCAAAAATGCATTCTATGACCTACGTCCACTCTCTTCAAGGAATACCTTCCCGTTCTATCATCCTGACTTTAAAAGGCTTTGGCGATATCGTGATTCCATAGATACCAGACGTATCTGGAAGATCGTCTGCTTCCTGCTCCAATCGGAACTTCTGCATAAGCGCTGAGAGGAAGAGGAAGAGTTCCATCCGAGCCAGAGCCTCTCCAAGACACACTCTCTTGCCAAAGGAGAACGGGATGAATTGTTCCGGTTGTAGCAGGCTTCCGTCATCTGCAAGAAACCTGTTGGTACATTGTATTAGAAAAAGCACTTATTATAGTAAAGTAAAGTAAAGTTGTTCCCGCATCCTGTCCGGACATTGGGGATTGCCTTGTTATTGAGACAACTTCCTGGGCCTTCGGCATATTGTGTGTGGTAGAGTGGCCAGTTCCTTTCCACGCCGCCTTCACTTCCCCCAACTCGAAGTCAGGAACTCATTACTGCTGGGTCGGCAGGAGGGGACGAAAAGAAATCCGTGTCCGAACCAAGGCTCGAACCCTGACTTTCCGCTTCGGAGACGAGCGCACTAACCGCTCCGCTAGCGCACCCTCATTTTTTACAGTACAGATATTGACTTAAAAAGCCACAAAGCTTTACTGTACGCGAAAAACGCTCCACTGAGATTTAGCATTATGTTTCATAAAACCACCAGTCTTTTATTGGTGTAACTTTTTTTGTCAACTAGAATAACGAACCATCAACATCTAAGACATTGATTTATGAGCCTACTTACTAAGATATTGTTAAGGTGTGGGGTTATTTTCTGTACTTTTTGGCCACAAAAATGTACATTAATTATTCATAACTTTGGAAAAATGAACCGAAAAGCAACAATAACATGAGGTGGCGCTGGTAGCTTAGTGATCAGGCTACAGTGCTACTGGACTCGGTCCGACATATTGCATTATTGGGAAAGGCACTTTACACGAACTTTCTATTTAATTTAGCTCAGTCATTTCGAAGATGGACTTTAAATTCGGAGGTCCTGCGTGATAAGTAGCCCAAAGTGTTGATTGATAGGAGCGTTAAAACAATTCACATTTTCACAACAATGGGAACACGTGAATATGAGTACGGCATTTCAAAAGTCTCCTTTTCAGACAACTGCTGACACTTTCCATAGAACACGGACAACAATAAACATTATTTAATGATAAGCAATATCACATATATATGCAATCTATGAGTTGGCAGAAAGACCCCTCACAGATTTAAAATAAATACACTGAACTTTGAATATAACTTATTTACTAGCCTCTTTCTTTTTATTGTGAACTTATGTAAAAACCTAACAAGTACTCACAACAGGGTTATAATCTTTCACTTGTAATGGAAGTCGAGTGGGTTGTACCAAACTTTCAGAACCATAATTATTATGTTGGGCTTGGGGGAAAACATGGAATGTGAGGCGCCACATAGAACCTGGTTATTAAATTATATCGCTGACACCGGTTCAGAAAAAAAAACGAAAACAAAAATCCCCCTTATTAAAAAAACAAAACAACAACAACAAAACAAAATACCATAAACACTGATTTCAGTTAACTGTTCGAACGTGTGCTCCTGTCTTACCTGCTTGGCCTGAAGTTCTCCGGGTCACCCCACGTCTGCTCATCTTTGAGAGAAGAATCTAGAATCGGCATGACGATTGTGCCTGCTGGGATGGTGTAACCTTTGATCTCAATGTCGGATAAAACCAGTCGCTGCAGGCCTATTGGTGCGATGTTGGAGAGTCGCTGAGTCTCCATAATGGCGGCATTGAGGTAGTTCAAGCGTGGCTGAGGAAGGAACACGAACAAGAAGATAGTATAGGTGAAAAAATATATTATACGTATCTATTCATTTCTCTTTCTTTCTCTGTCTGTCTGTCTGTCTGTCTGTCTGTCTGTCTGTCTGTCTGTCTGTCTGTCT